TAAACACGGGCGCCTCGTACCGGCGCTCAGTGGACCATCCGCTCAGTCGCTCACCCCTACACCGAGCAGTCAGTAAATATGGACTATCAATGCAAATGTCATTTGCATAATACAGATCTTTGGGTGGGATGGGGCATCGGTCTCATTTCACGTCATTTCATGGCTCACTGATGCAATTATAATGTCCATCACAGTTGATGAATAATGCATTGAAGTGAATGCATAAATGCCTCACGGTTCATGGATAATATAGGGAAGGAGTTCCATTGGTGGTGCCTTTTCATCACTCTCCCACTGGTCAAACGCTCATCGGTGGATTTAGGAGTGCATAGTGTTGGTTAAGGCTGGTTGCTAGCCAGGGCAACTTGTGAGGCCGCTGGGGTTGAACGACTTCAGATTATTTTTTTTGTCATTGAGGCTCATGTGATTGTGAGTGGCATTATTTGTCAGCTTTAATTATTAAAATGTCACTTTTAAGTAAGGTTGCGCATAAATCAGCAGTGACTCCAAGTGAGATGCGAATAGGCGGCGAAAAAAAAAAGGGCCACCAAGTCAGACTTTTTGAATTTGAATCAGAACGAATCATAGCATATTGCCACACGTGTAGGGATGGAAGAGTACCAATACCAGGGATCGGTATCGGGCCAGTAGAGTGCATTTTTACTAGCAGCGGCGCCAGCCTTCTTACCCCCTTAAGTCAGTTTGTTTAAAAAAAATAAAAATAAAAAAAAATTTCAGAGTGCAGCATATTTAATCAAACAAATATGACACACATTCAACTTCAAGTAACACAAACATATTTGACAAGGAATAATGTCCCTATAGCTTGATTAATTAAATGCATTGCGCCACACAATGCAATCTGGGAACAAAGAGCCTTTACCATCATTACCAGAGAGTCTAAGTTGACGTTTTTATGGGCAAAGTGTTGCGATGTTCCATGTTTGTGAATGTCACCAAAAAAATCTAAATCAAAAATGCATTCGCTGTATTGATAGCACACAATTTGCCTTTGACAAGCATGTAAACTTCGAGAAAATTGGTTTAGAAATGAGCAAGCGATTACTTATTTTCATTGGACCGGCACTCCCTTCGATGGAAACAATGTCGCCGCAACCTTTGCAGCAAGGCCAAATCATGTAGAAATATCAATTAGATCTATTTTCGAAAAATCCCCGCGGTTATGCAGATAAGGGTAGAGCCACCCACCCACGCGGGTTCAAGGGTGTACGCGTCACGTCCATGCTATTAGTTAATGTGTCACTCTGACTCCAAACATGCGGTGACCGTGAGCATACACGACGAGCCGCCTGAGCTAACAGTGACAACAAGGCTGCGCGCACGAGGCGGGAAACAAAAGTCGAGTTGACAGCTTTCTGATAAATCGCCCGTTAGAAGTCAAAAACAAAAAATAAAGAGCAATAACGGCGGAAGCCGTCACGCCGAAAGGGAAAATGTGCAGGAGAAATAAATGACGGGTTCTTCCCGAAGCAGAAAATGAGGAGTGATGATCTGTTGCAGGTGCGGCGCTAATATTGCCCACATGACGAATGGTGATCCCCTGTGGTGAAATCTCAAATAAGCTCATCAACTTTGGCTTTAGCGGACTGATAAAAGCTGACAATCACATCAATATCGGCACCATCTGTCACTAAGCCACTGGCGAGGGCCGAGCGGGAGCGAGTCCAGGTGACGGCGCATCCTGGACTGGGTTATCGAGACTGGCAGCTGCGGGGGCATAAAGGCAGGCGTGTCGAAAAATCGAGAAGGACGACAGTGGAGAAGAGGCCGCATCCTCTGGCAAATAGCGGCAAAAAGCCAATTTCCTGCCATTGCGGCACACGTGCGTGGATTGGTAAACACGTGGCTACAAAAACAACACCGAGCCCAGTTCTTGTTTTTGTGTGTGAGCAATGAAGGAGCTTTTTAAACAGCAGTCAGACAATTCAAAAGCAGCACGGCCCTCGCATCACAAAAGAGTAAGGGAAGCTTGAAGAGCTGTTGACGTTTGCGAGTGGGAAATTGATGAAAGGGAACACATGCCGAGCAGGCCTTTGAATTTCGCTACCTTGCTTATCTGGAGTCAGACATCCTTGAAAAGTATTAAGTACAACAATGAGTTTGAAGCTCATCTGGAAACCGAGACAAGAGTCTTGAGCGTGGTGCATGCAAGGGATTGAACAACTAAATATTTTTTTTGTTGTCGACTACAATGTGATGAAAGTCGAAATTGATTAATGACCAGGACCGGTTGGGGGAATAAATTCAAAACAAATGGTGGAAAATACGACTGAGTATTATGTTGAATGTAGCTGTAGTACTTCGCGAGAGACCCGCCTATGTTTTTGTCTTCGGTACACACTTAAAGCCAATCGAGCTGTTTCGATTTTGCCACTTTCATAGGCAGTCAGAACTCCTGTCCAGCTGACTCATTCATAAATGACTTCCAGTTTAGTCTGGACTCTGACCAGACCCACAATAGAGGTCAAAAAGGCACCCGAGCCCTGGAACCAAGAGTATGCGACAATTCTAAAAGAGGGCAACGGCACAAGTCTTACATTTCGGGGATTCGGGACAACGGTCTTTTTTTCTGGCGAAGAGGACTGAGAAACTCTTAACTAGCTGAGCGTTTCGGCTGTCACTTCAGCCTTTGTCGGAGCTATGAAAAAAAAAAAAAAGACACCTTAAATCTCATTTCACGAATAAGTAGACAAGATGAACTGCATAGTGCTTGCACAAAAGTTTTTCTTTCCATCAGTGCCTTTTTCTACACTGTGCATTATGATCAAGCCCACCTCGGACTGGTCCGCAGTCAGTCACAGGGCTATTATAAAGAGAAGTAACCACTTCACATACACAGAAGTCAAGTACATGAAAACCGAAATTACTAATGGCTCAGCTCTGCCGGTCAGTTGTCTATTTTCAAATAGTACAACGGGAAAGTATGAAAACCAAGCTTCATCGGATGCTGCAGTCATAGGTTATGAATGAAACCATTAATCGAATGACTCAGTGACAAAAAAAAAATCTCAAAGCAAAATCTCTGTCTCAACGTATGGCAGGGATCATTTAGGCCTTGAATGGTAAACTTCAATATATTAAAGGTGTGTGATTTATGGTTTAAATACCGTAGATAGGTAGAACTAAGGATGGGGTTATTTCTTTCTCTCTGGTACTGTTTGTGCATCATTACAGCAATGTAAAGAGGCAGCATGGCAGGCGGCAAGACACGCCTCTCTAATCCACACACACACACACACACACACACACACACACACACACACACACACACACACACACACACACACACACACACACACACACAGGGGTTGGCAGAGCAGCGTTGTCTCCCTGGAGGCCAATTCATAGCAATATCCTCCACTGAAAATTGCACACAGCCTTTAAATTGTTTCCCTCTCCCTCCCCATCTTAACTGCCAATTGCGTAGATCTGACAATGGCCACTTTACCACACTCATGCATGCAAACACGTACGCACGCACGCACACACTACTTCTATCAAACTTGCTGTTCCTCGTTATTATTCTAAGTATATTGAGGCGACAAGCAAGAGTATTCAAAGCGCAGCCTGGAGGCCAATGTTTGTTTTTTATTATTACTTAAGTTCAACACAGCCTGCTACCCATATGAGAGTTGGACCAAAAGGTCATGATTTATTTGTATCATTTTGTTGGCAGTCTGTAAGGTTGGATTTTTTTTGCTTTTGTCCACTACATACAGCTTCACAGGAACTCCTAAACAAGTAAAAAAGATGGACACACATTATTACTACTGTGATAACCTCGATTTACAAATTACTCAAATTGAGAGTCTTTCAGTACACGAGCTGTCGCTCGGCTGACTTTTTTTGTCTTGAGTTGTGAGTAAGAATTGGCATTACGATCACTCGATGGCCATTGTGAACTTCACAACAAGCAGCAATTTAGCAGATTTTTTTTTAATTCACTTTTAATCTGTTTATTGTAACTCTAAGATGATTAACTGGGGGAATAAACAAACCACAGACAACTGCATGTTGTTTATTTAATCAAGTCACTCAACTTTGCTTTCAGAAAGTATGCTAGCTTCATGCTACAACACAATGCAAAACACCATTGACAGGCTAATGAAAGTAGCATCGAAGTTGCAGGGTTATAACCAATTGAGCAATGGATATGTGAACACAAAATAGGCAGTATCCCATAAAGGAGAGCATTTGAAAATACTCAGAGCGTATATTCTCTGAGTGTGTGTGCGCGCATATATATATATATATATATAGAGAGAGAGAGAGAGAGAGAGAGAGAGAGAGAGAGAGAGAGAGACAAACACACACTAGTTCATTCATCTTGTAAAATATCAAGAATCGCATTGCATCACGTCCTCTCGAACTGAGCCATCCTGCACTGAATCGAATCGTAATCCACATCACATCGTCTTTTATTTAAGGCGCACACGCCTGCTAATTAGACCTTTTTTTATATTTGCTAATTAGACTTTTTTGAATGGCAACGTTCCAAGGAGTGTCATCATGACGTTTATCTACTCAAACCACTTTCTGTCTGTGTGCTTTTACACGTCCCGAATTGCAACATTAGTGAGAAAAAAAAAAAAGGTTATATATTGTAAATGTCTTTAGGGGGGCGTCCGTGAGGCTCAGTGGGGACATTTAACGGGTCAAACGAGCGACGTGGGACCAATTGTCCGGCGTAATTACGCGAATCGATGAAACCACACACTTGCATGCAGACTAGTGAATAAATCACCGGAGGTTCACTTTCACCAAGGAGTGATAAACGGAATTGACATAGCAACTCCCAAATTGTGCAACACAAATTCAAACAAGTCAAAATCTTCACCGTGGTCTCCTGCTGCCCGCGTGAAATAAATGCAGATTGGTCACAACTGTTGCTGCGTAAAGGCACCGTGCGCGGGGCTCTCGGTACTTTTTACGTTCTCAGCCAAGGTGCGTTCAAAAACAACAGCAAAAAGACAACTTACATGTCGAAGTTCTTGCATGCGGTCCTTCATTGTGGATTTTTCGGGATGGTGGTGATGATGGAGCGGATGTGGACACGGCAATGAGCGGGCTAAGGATGCGCGGCAGGCGGCTTCACAAGGAATCGATGCTTTCTTCCCCCAACCTCCCCCACCCCCACCCCCGTCCTCACCGCTCTCCCTCCTCCTTTTGGCTCCTCAATCGCGGTTCCGATGACGGGTTGATTGGACCGACTCCGTTAACCAATTCCACGCCCGTCAACTTCCTCGATTGCGCCCAATGGACTCGGCTTTGGGGAGGACCTGTTGACTGGAAGTGTAAGAATCCACTTGGGGAGTACAGGGAGGGACAGTGAGAAAGAGCAAAGAAAGAGGGGACGTCTAGTGGGCTGACGGTTTTGGGTTGAGATTGAATGTCGATCGAAGGCTCTCAGAGATAACGCCCAGGTAGGTTTTTTTTTTTTGCATTGGGTGCGGAAGCATGGCGCCCCCTGTCAGGCCACTGCGGGCACAGCAAGCAAGACAAGTCCAAATATCGATTTATTCATTCATCCATTCTTCGTTTTGTCAACTGGGGTTTGCCCACAATAAGGGATGCAGATGAGCTGGAGTCTATCCTCGCTAATTTGGGTCAGAGAAAGGGTATAACCTCGACTGGTGGTCAGCCAATCACAGAGAGACAAACAACCACAGGTGTCACCAACTTGGTGCCCGCGGGTCTGCCTAAAAATAGCTCACCAGTGACTACAAGCGCCTACTCTGTTTTTTTAAGCGGAAAATACGTGTTCTTTGGGAAGTGGCAAAAAACGTGGCACGGGATATGGAAGAAATGTCATCTTTTTTGCATTATGCTCAATCGTTGACATTGTAAGAGTTAGATTTTTTGAACTGGTCGTTTTAAATGAGCCACCGCCATCTCCTCCCTCGTTATTATTGTTTGTTGGACAGTCGTAAGGCAACGCTTGCTCAAATGAAAATTACCAAAAGGTTGATGACTTCGTATTTGCTTTAATTTGGACACGTATACCGAATATTGCGTCCGGTGATCTCACCGAGGAAATGCAACAAACATTTCATTCTAGTTTGATTTGAGTCACAAAACGCGGACAAAAATGGTCAATAATATGAGCTTGGATATGTACATTATGGTATATTACTGCTCGTTCTGTGCCTCGTAGATGTCTTCACGAAGTCAGGTTTTAAAAATGAGAGACCACAAGTATTGCATCCAATTAAAAAGAATAAAGTCCATTCACCATAGAGGTGACTCTGTGTGTGCGTGTGTGTCTGTGATGAAGGCCCAGTTGCATGAGTCACAGCTAGAAATGAGGTCTTCTCTGACGTCCGGTGTATTTGGTGTCAGCCCGCACCTCCCTGTAGGACGACATCACAAGGATGAGCCAACTGACATGATTTGAAAAAATGAGTGTACAAAGACTGTATGGATATAATGAAAATACACCAGAGCCCATACCGTCCTTGTCGGCGTCTCCTCTCCTTTTTTTCCAGAATCCAATCTCGGCTCTTCTTTGCCGATTTTCCCTTCATGTTTTTGAATCGGCATCTTTGCAGGGACAGAGTGAGGTGATTACTTGTTTGTTAGGTGCGAGATATTATCCCATGTAAAAGGCAGGAAAATCCGCCTGTCGGGGTTTCGCGTCAGGCAGGACGACAACCTTTTTTTTTTGCTCTTTACTCTTGGCCTGCTGGCATCATGATTCAGGTACGACTGAACCTGATCCACACCTGAAGCCGAGACCGGATACACCACCTTCTTGGTGAGCTTGGATACGAATACTGGACATGCTGGGAACATTGTATACCGACTTGGAAACGGATGCAGTCATAAAAAAATATTTTGAAATTATGTGCATGAGTACTCATATTTTGCTAGTTTTCAAATTATTATTCATAGAGCTTCATTTTGGCATTTTGTGTTCTTATTCTTATTGTGATGTTTATTCTTGACCCCAGCGGGTGTTGCGCATTTCTAATCTCATGCACATTATTTTGGACAATTTCTATTTCATTTTGTACAATTTTTAACTATTATTGCAATTTCATTTTGTTATTCTTATTTACATGGTATTTTCATAAACTGTATTGACTGCGACATTCGGTAAACATGAGATCAAATGTGCTTTAAGTGGCATTTTGCGTTTCCATGTCGGTAGACTTCGTCAGTTTCCCCAGTACTGTCTCAGACTCACCAAACTGGATGTTACAGTAAAGCAAAACATGGGAAGGTCATATTTCAACACACACACACACGCGTACACGCACACGGCGAGCTCATTATCTGGTCAATTGCATTCACACAGCAACCTGCTGTGAAAAAAAGACAAAACAAACAAGCTTTTATTGGTGCACATTTGGCCTGAGGTAGCATCTTAATATCATAAAAAGAGAGAAGAAGATTGGAGGCTTTCAGGGCTTCATTAAACAGACACACTAATGTGATTAGCATAAGCAGGTTATTGCATCCGTGTAAACAACACTTCCATCTTGTTACCTTTGTCCCGAATACTGGACCTGGTTGGGGACGTTCTTGTCAGACATTTCGGAGCCCAAACCCTGAAGTTGGTAAAGCAGCAGTGTTATACACAGTTAGATTTTTCCAATCAGACTGGGCGAGAAAGACTTAAATTTGAAAGATTTATTTTGTTAATTTTTCCCCATAAAAATTCCTGTCCCAAATTTGTTGATTTTTCACACTTTTCTTACAGTTAGAAAGCAAATGATAAGGACATAATTCAAATTATTTCTTGCTTTCAATGACGGAGGAAGCGAAATAAATACATTTCTGAAGCGCATAAACTGAAATTAGTGGTGAAATTTGATTCAGCAGCGAGCTCTCCTTCTTTCATTTGAAACAAACTTACCTTGGGCAGGACGCCCGTCACGCCAGCAAACAGACACAAGAAGAACCTGGAGAGAAGCACAATGAGCAACAACGGCAACTGTGACCTGAGTCCCACAGGAAGTGATCTACGGACTTTTTGGCCTTGGTGCTGTTGGGGTAGTCCACCACCATGCCTCCGCTGAAGCCCGCCCTCATGGCCTGCGACGTAATCAGTTCCAACTGCCAGGAGATCAAAACAAGTGAGGAGGATGAATGATACGGAGGCGGGAGGGAGAAACTAACTTCCTAAATGCTCATCGGAGGACATTTTATGTTCTTGTTTACCTGCTCTGAGTTCTCGGGATAGAGCTGAAAAACGGCCCGGGCGCCTCTTGACTGAAAGATGGAGAACAAGTAATTTAATGATAATCTATTGAACAGTTTGGACAGATGAAATGGCACGAATGCACGAAAAAGTCATTAGTGTGCACAAATAGGTAGGTAGCTTGTGTGCACATATTAGTAGTTTGTGTGCGCAAAGTATTTTTTTTCTCAGCTGTCATGTCTGGGGCTCCGTACGATTCTATTTGGCAGAACAAATTTACGCTAAGCAATTTATTAAGAAATATATATTTTGAATGAAATAACTTCCTTTTTTTGTCCCTTAATGCTTACAACAATAAAGAAATAATTTACACGCAGAGCATTGTACTGTTTTACAATCATTTTTGTCCTTTATTTGTTTACCCTTGCAGAGAGAAAAATCAGCAAAAATCAGCCAATGTTTTGCTGCTTTTTCTGGGGGATTGTTCGAATGTCATTATTTTTGTATAATGGAATATGTTAATGTGTTAAAAATGTTTAATGGCAAATATAAATAAATAAACAAGCTGATTTTTTTAAAAGAGCTACTCTCAGCCAATTAATCAGTCAGGCCCCAAAAAGTAAGGGCTGGGTGATTGTATGGCTCAGGATTGTTTTCAGTCAGCGTTACCAACTTAGACATTTTGATTTCTGACACCTCCAGGGACTATATTTCAAAAAAGCTGTTAGCAGTTTTGATTCCCGCGAGGAAACAGACAAAACGTGGGGAATCACATTCCCATTGTTTTCTGCATGACCAGATAGGAGAAAGCAAACTGATTCCAACCTCAAAATTCCCACTGTAAATAAATCAAAAATTTGAATACAACTTACCAATGAAGAATAAAGAGTACTAAAGAAAGTGTAAAGTCTCTTGGGAGGACTGTGTGTGCGCTTGTCAGCGTTGCAAAGCCACTGAAGAGCTGAAATACTGACAGGGAACAAAAACAAGGGTCACTAATTAAACTACAAGATTCCATATGAATCCTGAGAAAGTGACAGGACATTTGCTAGATTTGGTACCTAACGCAGCCATCAAAGGTTCCCGGTCGGAAAGGCATCCCTTGACCCATGTCTCCCAATAGAAGATCTCCTTCCACCTCTCTGTCCTGTGCCACATCTGATACAGATCACACACACACGGAATTGTGTTCAGATATGTTGCTTGAAGGCCAGTTGTGCTAGCCCACCAATGGCATTTTGCAGTATCGGTTAGCATTAAGCTAGCAGACTTTCATCAGACAAAGTTATGTGGCGTTTGGTTAAATACATAGTGTGTGAATCTGTATGTAACAACTGAAAATAAAAATAGCAATCGGACAGCTTTATCTGGAAAAAACTTGGCCGGGAGTTCTAATTATCACAGTCACCTAAACGGAGCTGACAATAATGCTCAAACTAACCCAGCATTGCTGTGCTGATGTCGACTCCCACCCAGTAGTGTCCTTCATCTGTGAGATAATCGCCACTAAGCCCCGAACCACACCTGAGAAGAAAATAAGAAGAATAAAACCCCTGAGTGCTTTGCAGTTCAAACGTATGTATATACACACACACACACACACACACACACACACACACACAAATATTAGGGCTACATTTAGAAAAAGATTTTTTGATTTCAGGATTGTATAATTCAACAAGGCCACTTTTGAGCGTGAAGGCAAGTACAGTTTAATTGGCTCACCCCACATCTAGCAGATAGCACGGCTGCCCCTCTGGAAGGTTCAAAAGCTCCACGGCTCTCTCCGACATCTGAGTCTGAATCTCGATCATACGTGAGCTGACACAAAAGAATTTTTGGGAGAAACATCCTCTTACAAGACTTTTGACAAAATAAAACCTTTTTCAAGAGAAACAAACAGAATATTTTACTGCGTGAAAGCCGCAGCAGAGAATACAGTAGTATGTGATTTATTGAATACATTCTAAAAACTCGAGGCATGTTTTGAAGAATGTATGACGTGTGCACAATATATATTGCAGCATATCATTACATACTTTCAGTATGGAAGGCACGAAAACTACTGGCAATGTAAACCTCATTCATATTTCGTCAGCCAAAACTAACAAGTGTTTTCTAGTTTAAATTTGATTCATTTTAAAAAGTTGTGACAGCAATGAGACTTACTTCTGGGAGTATTTCTTGGCCTCATCTGCGTTGTAAAACTGTGGAGTGAAAAAAATGCACTGTATTAAAAGCTAAACAAACATCTCATGTTGTTGTTGTTGTTTTTTTTTTTAATAATGCATAGCTTGAAGTGAGGCTGAAAGCAAGCCACAACAGCGTCCCGTTTACATTGAAGCTGCTGTTAGCCGAGATGCTACAAACACATAAAAACAAGCACTAACCACATCTGGAGGAGCCGTGTGCTCCGGTCGTCGACAGGAGCTCATGGTACAGTAACTGGTTAGTAACCGAAGAGAAGAGGTGAATGTAGTTTACTCCTCAAAAAGAAGATAAATGGATGACACATGTGGGTCCAATCTGTTGACCATACGCAGTAAACTCTTCTTCGGTGAAATACGAGATGAATTATAGGGGAAATATCTGTATGTCGCCATCTAGTGGAAGTCTCCTTCAACCCACTGCGGACACACTACAGCTCAGGGGAGAGTCGGCAGCATCATCACTGTTGGCAGACCCGGTTTCGAGGTTTCAAGACAGCTTGAAGCAAAACAACTACTTATGTACTGCTGATGGAAGCTGGGGGAATACCATTTAAATTAAGATTTGATAATTTGTTCTGAACATATTGGGGGACGCTGAAAGGAAGTGTTCATACTGTAATCCTGCCCTGTCGGGTCTGACTGAACGTTGGGAGTGCTGTATCAATTTGAGAGTCCTGGTTTTGGATGTCCTATAAAGAATGCCAGGCAAAAATTCTGGATTAAATAATCAGATTTTAGTCTTGTGTTGGGTAGCTCCCCCATGGATGTTACACTACCAATGCCGATAGTTGACTTAAAATTGCGAAAAGATGTAATCAAATTACAGCACAACGTAAAATAAAAACGAAAATTCAATTAAAAACAGTTGCATGAAAGTATTACATATGTGTGGGTGATACAGATATTAATATTTATAATAAAATGGTTTCTGTATTGTATTTTTTGAAAACAATTACATATTCAAATCGCAGAGATGTTACCGTCAACTTTGGTGTAAAAACAATTTAAAAAATATTATGAAGGTACTTCACAGTTAAATTGTTTTTGATACATTTTGTGCGTCTTCACGTCATAAAAATGGTTAAATGGGCGTAGCGGTTTCTGCTGTGTGATTGGTCGAGCACGATCATTTCTTCCTCTTCTCGTCGATTCTTGTTGGTCCACTGCGACGTGACGTATGAGGAACTTGACTGGTTTTCCTGCTGGGTGATATGAGGGTGGGAAATGGCGGAGGTCGTCCAAAAGCTGGGCAGCGGAGTTTGCCGGTTGTCCAGCTTCAGATACGGTCAAAGTCGACCGCTTTGCTCCGAGGAAGCTTCGGAAACTTGGCGAGAAAAGTGCACATTTACTGCAAGTCCAAATAAATACGTTTTAACGGGGAACGAAGGCGACGTTTGGCCAAAAAGCACAGCGGTAGGACCCAAAGTAGAAGTCAGACTAATGGAAAGGAGTCATCGGATAACTGAAATTAGTTTGAACCAGAACTCACCCCGTTTTACTGGATTTGTTCATGCTAGAGAGGCTTTTAACAGTTCTTTGGTTGGACCCTGGAGGTCATCCGAGAGCAGAGGAGCTGTTTCCGGTACCCCGAACTCCCTCCTCACGTCATCTCAGCAGCTGCGAGCTTTCTGCATCCTCATCCGAGTGCATACCCCAGAGAGTCGGCATTGTGGCTCTTTTAAATCCAGAAGCTACTGTTGGAAGAAAGACTTTAAAGATGACCCATTGTACAGAAACAGGACGGCCTATTATGACATCCTCAAAGTGTCCCCCAATGCCACGCAGTCCCAAATCAAGACCGCCTACTATAAGCAGTCGTTTATCTTCCACCCAGACAAAAACCCCGGGAGCGCAGAGTCTGCGCTGCGCTTCTCTGAGATCAGCGAGGCATACACGGTACTGGGCAACAAAAGTCTGAGGAGGAAGTATGACCGGGGTATCCTGAGCATGATGGATGTCCACGGTACGGGAAGACCCCCCTCCAAAGAGACCTCAAGCAGATCCTCGGGATCGGCACAGCAGCAGCAAACCACCTCCAGGGGTTTCTCCCAAACGAGAGGAAGGCCCATGTACGACTTTGACGCCTTCTACCAGGCTCACTACGGCGAGCAGCTGCAGAAGGAGCGAGAAATGCGAGCCCGAAGGCAGCGCAAAATCGAGGCGCACCAGGAGAAGCTGAAAAAGTGGAGGCAGAGCAAGATGATCGAGGGCACGGTGGGCTTGCTGCTGCTGGCCGCGGGCATGGTTTTCCTGAGCGTCAAGTCCTGAAAGACGAGCGGCATCTGGACCGCCTCCTTGTTGGGGTGGCATGTTCAAACACGACAAGAACGCTTTTTCTCAGTTTTTGACTTTTCAATTTGGGGTTGTAGTCATATAGAGGCAAAATGTTCATTTGAGGATGAACAAATTTGGAATCACACCATAACAATTTATTTTATTTTTTTTTTAGACCCACTCGACACAATCAAGTGCAGATCCTTGATAATGCCTTGTGTCTTGCAATTGTGATGAAAATGTGAGTTTAATCTAGCATCGTTGAAAAACACACTTCAATACATGAGAAATTAACTACTGGATTAAATTAAATTTTCATTTCTAAATTGCTGAGATGCATCTGTACATATGAAATATGAATTATATTTGGAGGATTGTGTTTTGTGTGATTTATTGCAAAACTAATTGAAGGAATACATATGAAAATTATATTCTTTTGAATGAATGCCCCGTGACAAATCCATCGTATTTTCAGGCCAAAATGATGGCTCGAAAAAGAAAATAACCGAATAGCACACAACGTTGAGAGTATCCTGGTACATTGTATTATTTAACTGCATTAAAACTAATTACACAAGGCCCTCTATGCTTTGAATGGAGGAAAGTACTGACCCCTCTATCACTGAGCCAAGACGTTCATGTCACGTTTGGCCTGGAGAGGGCAGCCGACCATATCGAATGACATCACCTGCTCAGAACGGGTCCTGATACTCTATTTTATAGAATATAAGATAAATAAACGTGGCGTTTTGGGCCAACATCAGCAAATGTATACACAGTGTATACATATTAGGGAGAGTCACAAAAATCTAATGATTTTGTTCACATTTTATTCACAGAAATATAAAGTAGTATGTCAATTACATCACTTTGTACAAAATTGCACAGACTCGTCAAAACTCAGTCAACAGAAACAAACCAACTTAGAAGTTTTACCGGGTGTTACTAAAATAAAAGTGGAGCAACGACTGCACAGATTCTAGGATTCCAGGTCAAAAAGAAAATCTGCTTGTTTTGCTAAATAAATGAGATGTTGAGGGCATGAGCAGTGTGTGGTGTGTGACTGATATGTGACGGGGCCCTTGCACAACGACAAGATTCAATAGGGGAGGGAAAACCCATTCACAACAGCTTAGGAATAATAAATATGTTCCAAAAATAGGACGCAAGTTGGCACATTAACCTCCTCAGCTGTCGTGGAAAATGCTGCGTGATGGCCACGCTTGACGCGTGTAACTCATTTAGTAGCTGAACTAAAGTTGACGACTGTATATTACAAAAAGGCATTGGCATGTCCGGTGTTCGAATTTGGCTTGAATGTTCCTTTTTAAAAAAATCTTACCGGTAATAACGCTTGTCTAATACATATTTTGATGATTTAAAGCAAAGCTACGAAGCCAATTATGTGCACTCAAGCGTGGCCGTCCTTTCCCACAACTCTGCTCCACTTCCCCCTCCTAGCCTCCACTAAATGCTGGAGTCCCATCGCGTGACAGGTTGAAGGCGTGACTTTGAATGTGACAAAGACTAAACAAAAACATAAACGCGCCACTTTTGTCTTTGCTCCTTTTTTTTCATGAGCTGAACTCAAATATCGAAGACTTTTTCGATGTACAGTGGAAATACTCGTGATACTTTGCTTTGACTTTGGAGCAAACATTTGACAAGTCCCACAAAGTGAAGTTTATTGTCAATCTAAATATCAAACGAGCGACCACTTTGTGGGAGCTAATGAGGATCCTAACATTGAAAAAAACAAAGAGAATTGCAAATGGTGTATTTAAAACAATCACAAAACTTTGCTCTTTGGAAACTTAATGCACTAAAATGTAAAAATGCCATAGATGGGCTAATGAATGATGAATAGTCATGGCGTGAGACCCTCGACGCAATGCACATTTGAGCAGAAATGCTGCATCAACAAATGTCGAGAGACAAATTAACGATGCTCGCAGACATACATACAGACATGTATGCTCTGTGAGAAATTATTATTTTACAGTTTACAGAGTAATTATGGAATTTTTTTTATTTTGTTTGTCTTTGTGACCAGTGCCGTATATTAAAAGAGTCTGGCCAACTCGCTTGACCCGCACCGTCTTGCACCCCAGCCTGCTATACGATAGTACACGTGTGCTGATTTATCCGGTACACATTTCTTTCCTACAAACTGAATAGTCCGAATTTCAACATAATGTACAGTACAGTACATGTGGACTATAAGGTGATCATGTCGCAGGTTTACTTATTTTTCCAATTAGAAAAAAATGGGCGGGTCTAAAAGAATCGCAACACGCCCGTTATGAAATGGTTGAAATTAGTCACTTCATTGATAGGTGGACAAACATTAATTTAAAAAAAAAAGGGGGCAGCTGAAGCATCACACGAGGGGGTCACGTAGTGACCGAGGGTCAATCGAACAAAATATATTGTAGCTAATCTAACTCTGACGCCTTGCCGATTGATTATTTATTCATTGTTTCTTACTTAGACCAGAGAGAAAGAGAAAAAAAAATTGGCGTTCCCTACATTTATCCTTTCCGGACAATCAGACACACCTAGAAAACAGCGTAACCCCATTAATCGTGCGTTAAATAGGGAATGGTGTGCACATTCGGACACGGCTTCCCGTTTATTTAGGGCGCTAGAAAGATATTGATTAAGACAGAACCCGTTTAATTATGACTGTATTTGATTGCAATCCATCCCCACCAAAAGGCGTCAACATGAATGACCCCTTATTTAGCGTCAAAGAAGCTAAATTGCACCAAGCAACATTTACAGAATGCATTCATCTCAAACAATTTTATTTTATTTTTTGCGGCAACAACCTTTGATAAAGTGATATCAAACCATAATATTTTATTGAAAAAAATTCTGCCGTCTTAAAGGTTAATCTTGATGCACAATATGTCTATTTATTTATTTATTGATTAATTTTTTTTAACAAACTACATCCTATTTAAATGTGTTAATATTTTTAAAAAAGTGTGTGTGTGTGTGTATATATATATATATAATATAGTGCTATTTTCCTGTTTAAAAATACATTCGGAAAAAAAAAAGTTTTTTGGGTGGGGTGGGGGGTGGATTGATTGAGTTGATAAACAAAACTAATTAAAATAGCATCTCAAGGCACAACAGTACACCAAACAGTTTCTCTCAAATATTTACAAACGTTTCTAAATCTGTGTTGGAGAGCACTTCTCCTTTGCAGAGATAATACAGCCACCTCACAGGCGTGGCCAAGCAATACCATGCACATTTTATTGCGGACAGCTAAAGTACGCCTGCTTAGTAAATCATGCTGTCTAATTAGCATCTTGACATGCCACACCAGTCAGCTGAATGGATGACCTCGGTAAAAGAGAAGTGCTAACTAGCACAGATTTGAACCTAACTGAACTATAACAAAGAAAATCAGGCCGACTGTCTACAGAGAAAAAGTTTTCCATGTTTGAGTTGAGCAAAAGCAAAATTGTTGCATTGATGTTTTTGTTCAGTATATTAAAACAGCATATCGAATCTACAGTTTACCCATATAACGAGCTTGTATTAAAAAACAAAACAAAACAACCACAAAAAAACCCAACCCTGTTTTAGAAGCACTACTGTAACACGGTGATCATCCAAAAATACTCAAATACATCACCAGACACACACTCACGCTCATAAAATAAGCCAGTGTGACAGCAAATGGAAGCCACCCTGACCCGTATTAAACCGCCTCACTTTTCACACACGTATGCATTGATGTTGCGGAGAAATGCATGTTTTGTGAGCATTTTGGTTGCACGCCTTTGCTCGCCATTCTTGAAAATTGGGAAATTGGACATTTCGCACCTATGACTAAGAAAAGTGATTTCAAGTCGAGTCTTTCGACTCCTCGTAGCCTGATTTCACCAAAACTCATAGCCACGCGCATGGAGAGGGACTGGGATATTACACACCTCACCTCCAATAGACGCCACATTTTTTCGCTGGACTTCGGGAGGGAAAAACACCAGTTGGTGTCAATGAGAAATTGGAATTACCTTTAAATCTGACTGATATCATCATGTGCTGCCTAAGTTGTCATTGGCATCCGTAAAGCTTACGTTGATACGGCGGCATTCAAAGGGCTGCTTTCTGGAAGAAGAAAAAAAA